CCCCCCCCCCCACACACACACACACACACACACACACACACTCCTCAGTCACAGCTCACAGTTTGTGGCTCTGCTAAACCTCCTCTTGTTTTTTTACAGTAGAGTTCTCCACAAAAACAGGAGGCGACACAAACGGCTCAATCAAAGCTGGGGGAGTGTGTTGGGGGGGGGGGGGGGGTGCAGGGAACAACGTCAAACATCCTCCATTCCTGAGCCGTGCGCTCATATCTCCGTGTCCGTGCCGTCGAGAGTTTCCTCAGCGGATGCTGAAGCCTGGAAAAAAGGGATCACCTCTCTTAATCCCATCACTTCCTGTTCACGTAAAACAAAATAGCTGCGGATCGTCTGGCAAAAATAAAATAAATAAATAAAAGCGAATAAAAGCTTCAAGCTGAGCTATTCTTCAGCAGAATACATGACGCCCGTTAGAGTTTTAACCCGAGATCATTTTACTGAATGTTGAGGGATGATGGAGTTGTAGTCGTTTTGGTCAAATCTTAAAATACAACGTGATTTGTGTTGAGGACGACTCTCGGCTACCACCACGCCAAGTTTGAGCTCATTAGCTGTAAAATCAGCTGAAGTGAGGCTGTATGTTTACCTCGTCTTGTAAACAATAACCTGCATTCCTAAATGTTGCCCCCAGTTCAGCTCTTGAACCACTGGCTAACAGTTATTTTTACACTTCCTTGTTTAAAAAAAAACAGACCCCCCCCCCCCCCCCATGGACTAGGATGCATTTCCTGGCGAGTGGATGGAAAACAGTTGAACCACGAGAGGCGAGAGGAATCATCCAGAGAGCACGGAAACACGATGGATCTTCTTCTTTTTTTGAATAATAGTTATTCCTGTCAATAGTGTGAATGTTCATGAAGCGTTCACACTATTGTGATCCGTTTTTCTTCCGTACGTGTTTCAGCGTCTTTCTCGTTCCACAATGTTTGTGCTATTTCAACAAGTCATACAAATCAAAACGTTCAGGTCTGTCAGGGAAATCCTGCCATGACTTTTGGTATTGGTGCAACTTCAGCTTGTTCAAATATTTAGCCTTTTCTGCCATTTTCTTCCTCATATCAAATGAACTGAGCTCATTTGACCTCCTTCAGATCTTTAGATCTGTTTACAACCTTTTACTGCTCCTTTCATAGCTTGTTCTGGTTCAGCTTCTTTCAACTTCTTTGTGCAAATTTAAACTTTTTTCCAGCTACTTTTAGCTGTTTTTTCAGCTGTTTGGTGCTTCTTTCAGATTCTGTCTGCTAAGAACATTTTTGTGCCTCTTCTAACTCCTTTCTGCTAATTTCAGCTTTCTATGCTCCTTTCAGCTAATTTCTGCAAGTTTCAGCTTTTTCTGCTATTTCAACTATCATTTAGCTCTTTTTATGATCATTTCAACATTTTCAACTAAATCCACATTTTTTTGCACTCATTTCAACTATTTTCAGCCTAATTCAGCAAAATTGTGCTCTCTCCACTTCTGGTAATTTCAGCTCTTTTCTGCATTTTAACTACTATTCAGCTGTTTTATGCAAAGTTCTTTTTTCAGATAATTTCCACTTTTTGTGCTCATTTCTTCTTTTTTCAGCCTAATTTGGCATAACTGTGTTCTCTCCACTTCCTTCTGGTATTTTAAGCTTCTTTCAGCTACTTTTCAGCTATTTTTTGCTAATTTCAGCTTTTTTTTTTTTAGCTCATTTACTAATTTATGTGCTCATTTCTGCTTATTTAAACTAAATTCAGCAAATATGTGTTCTTCTGCTAATTTAGGCTTGTTCTTCCATTTCAGCTACATTTCAGCATGTTTTTTAAGCTAATTTCAGCTGTTTTTCAGCAATAATTCACATTGCATTTTCACAGGAAATGCAATTTCTCTAGTTATTCTAATTATTAGAAATTATTTTTACCCTGGCCTTAAACAAAACACCCAGTTTGCTGTTTAATGGGTTTCTGTGATGTGTCTGTGTGGACCTGCAGAACCCACCTCGGGTCACAAACGGGCCTTTGACCTCGGTGTGGGTGGAGGGCGTCGAGTTTGAACCTCGGTGATTAAGCGGGCGATGGGTGGAGTGACGCTGCTGGTGCCCTTTCCCGCTTCCTGCCTCCTTTGTGCCGTGGAGATTTCTTTGTTTTTCCCTCTAAAATAACGTGTGGTGGCCCAGTAATCATAATACCTCTGCCACCAGAGCAAGCGGGGGCCGGCCCCCCGGGGACGTCGGTAACAGACTTTTAGCACTTTGCTGTTTTTCTTAACGAACCGTGACGTTGATGGAAAAGGAAGTGACACCCTGGAGTCTAACCGGCCCAGAGGGTCTCGGGTGTTCTCGTCAAAGGTCTGCTGAAACGTATTTTGTTCCTGCAGTTTCTTCAAACCTTTCGGCGGCGGTTCGGCTCGTGTTTGGAGCGGCAGGTCCGTTTGGCTCCCTGCTGCCTGACGTTTGCCACAGTGGAAACGAGCGGCCGGTAGCCCCGATGAATGTGTTTACTCAGGCAGGCGGCGAGTTGGAAAAGCCCACCATGAACGAACCCTTTGTAGATCAACAAGTCCAAGCTGATCAACGTGAGCGTCACTGCTGGCTCCGCAGAGCTGGAACCCCCCCCCCCCCCCCCCCCACCCCCGAAAATCTGGCTTTATTAATATTTCATGCAAAGCTCACTTTAAAGTGTTTTTAACCATCATATTAATAATTGTTCCCCAAAGGAATGTGTCTCAGCGCGGACCCCAACAGTTACGTGAAGTTTGTAAACACATTGATCAGTAACTGAAGCCCATGCTGTGAATGAACCTCAGCTACAACTACACAAACCTTTAGCTCGTTATCTGTGAAACTGGCTGAGCCTTTTTTGTGTGTTTGCTTAGTGGCAGCCATCTTTAATTTGGCAGCACGACGGCTCAGTGGTTAGCTCTGTTGCCTCACAGCAAGAAGGTCTTGGGTTCAATCCCCGGTTGGACCTGGAGTCTTTCTGTGTGTGTTCTCGTGCTTGTGTGGGTTTTCTCCGGGTACTCCGGTTTCCTCCCATAGGCCAAAAAAGCCATACACGTTAGTTTGCCTTCAGGTCCAGGCCTCCCTTACAAAAGAGATCTGTGAGATTTGCCTGGTTAAATAAAGTTTAATAAAATTAGCTTGGCACCAAAAGTTAATACGCTACAGTCAGTGATTAATGTCTGCAAGACTCAAAGAAGGTTGGACACAGAAACAAAGACGAGGGCGAAAACATTATTTTCCATCTTATAATAATAATAATAATAATAAAAAAAAAACTTTTTATCATCTGAATCTACTGTGACCACGCTTTTAAATATGTCGAACTTTCCCAGAAATCAACCACTTGAAGCGAGTTTTAGACATTTTTATTTCCATGTTTATACATTTATTGTCGCCTGAAGAGCAACGAGGAGACTTGGACATAACCTCAGTCTGTCTTGTGACAGACGTGAAAAATAAGCAACGGGCCAACTTCTGTTTTGGT